ATGCTTACTCTTCAATTCAAGAGTAACCCTTCAAAATTCTTTGGGCAATTCCATGGCATTCACATAATGTTATCTCTTTTTGGACGAATTCGGAATATGATACCGTGATGACTGATATGGTTAATGAATGTAGATAAAGAATGAGAAATGAATGAATAATGAATAAATGAATATTAGATTGATTGAATAATGATTGAGTGGAAGAACGAATAGAATGCGAACAAAGAATAAAAATGAAGGAAGGTGTAAATGTGTGCAGCTATGTGAATTGGGAAAAGTTCCGGTCAATCCCTTCGGTCAACATTATACTTCCATATTGACTTCATCAAGAAATGTTCCTTCCTTCACGTTTAAGCTCAACTGTAGGAAAACATAGGGTTTACTGGTAAGTTTGGAGGCCTTTAATGGAGAAAGGCCCCGAAACAGGAACAATTCCTCCCATCTTTTCGAACAAACTCTAAACGCACATGTTTCAACCACCACCAGTGTTGAAAGTAATTTGAAAGTATCCAAAAAACATCAGATCAACAGAAGGTTCAGCTGATCGCCTAGTCTCACCCCAACTTTCGAGAACTTCACTCAATACATTTTTTCTTTGAACTGGAACAGAAGCTTGGAAATACAGTACAAAACATAGTGCCCGACTAAGCCGCCCTATAAACCTTTTGTTAGGGATATTAGGTGCCATATGTTCTTTTTAAGGACAAGGTTTGTGAAAAAATAGCAAGCATCTATTCAAGTGTTAAACAAGTTACTCCGATCCTTCTCAATTTCAAACGGTATTTTTATGTGGTGTGGTGCAGCAGGAACGAAACTGTCGCGTCGCGGCGAGAGGGACGCCGCGCGCGAAAGAATGTAGCAGAATGCAGCAGCAATTAAGAAATACAGAAACAAAAGAATTAGCATTAGACATGCCATATCGATTGAGCTGTATGAAGAACGCTAGAACTATAACAGCGAGGCAAATGGTCCGCGGCGCGCGGCGAATCGATTACACAGAACCGATCCTATTGCCCGTCTCCCTATTCTTATGAAGCCGTGCGCTCGTGACTAGGTGCAAGAAATAGTAATACATCATAAATCACGACCAGTTCACATTACATTATTGATGATTAATTGAAAAGTGTGCGCGGTTGCTATTCATACCACTCGTAGGCGTTCAGGTTAGAGATTCCGCTATAAAGCACTTCAAGCAGTATATTGGATCAGGTTCGAATGAATTTCACTTATGATCCTCTTTAGTAACGTCATCGTTGCTAAGATCAGGATAGAAACTTGGAGATTACTTTATTACAGACAGATTTATGAGTATTGTTCATATTTAGGTCAATGGACACTACAGGTTAGCATAGAATTTCGATTAACACAAGTCTTAGCTAATCTGTATAGCAAAGTAAATTTACAGGTGTGAAAAGTCTCCATAGAGATGTAGTTGAATATCAAGTTGTAGCTGTATACATGGTCCTGACAGTGAGAAAGACTGATAGGTTCGTAAACAACAGAGCCAACAACAGTTGCTTAAATCGAAAATCGAAAATCGGAAACACTGTCGTGGATTTTGCTTGTCCTATTCCATGTTGGTAACCCATATAAAATCATTGAAATGGGGATGGAAGACTTTTGCTACTGCCTTTATTACTAATTACCTTAACAACGTACTTCTATAGGTGGGACCTTAATTGGTGCTATGGTTGGACATTACAACATCGGCTCTAGTACTCATAAAAGATCTCATTTTAAAGAAAAGGCACCCGACCTTTTTGAACATTGCCAGTCTTAGCATTTTGCTTAACTGTTTCCTGAGCCACTTCTGGAGTGAATACTACAGGTCTAGACATTGAAGCCATTTATGGACTCGACTCAATTGTCGATTAAATTATTAGTAACTATCCAGACGCGGAAATGAGCCGTTAATTCAGATTTCTGATTGGGAAAGACGAGAATTGTGTCACTAAACACCAGCAAAAGGCATAACAACCACGTACCCTCTGCGTCAAGGTCCTTCACCAAGCTTTTTGACCGAATAAATGGCAAGATTCTGAAAGTGCCCTCGCATCCAAGTTATTTTCGAGACATCTATCGACCTTGGATAGCGATGTTGCTTCCTCTTTTATTGAACAACTATTTATTTGATTAACCCGTCAAATTAGGTTTGTGTATAAATAGATGAATAAGTAAATAAATAAGTAGTAATAAACAAATAAACAACAGAAGTTCAGTTTAGGAGCGCATCACGTACTCCATTCGAACTTCTCCAGGAAACGGTATAAAATTGATCCGATCTTATCTTGGGTCCTCTTGGAAAATACTGTGCTCCCAATATGAAGAAAGACAGAGAGCGAGAGAGCCACCTGACACCCAGGAAGAGGTGAAAGTCCCGCATGAACCAGTTCAACAGGATAAATAGAACGTTTCTAAGACACCTCTGAACCGAGTTTTGTGCTCCAATTGTTCAGTTCCAAGAGCATTCAGATCGATTATCGATCAAAACAAGGATCAAGTACCACATCTGAAACCAAATCTTCTCGGAAACTTACGCTCGTCCGTTGTCCAAGTGAATTGCGTATGATGGTAGATTCTCAAAAACGGCGAAAGACTCGTAATGATGACGATCCTGATTTCCTGAAACCCGCACGCTTTCACAACAATTTATAGATCGAAATATTAAAAACATCACTGAGAACGATAAAATCAGGACGCGGAGCAAAAATAGGCCATACGCTATCTAGGAGCTTACGAAAGCTTTCTAGCTAGGAAAAGCCGATTTCTGACAGGGACTTGATCTGATCTTGATGAACTGTGTTCCACTGAAATAAACCCTCCGCTGGACCAAACGAGTTGTCTCATTTCTTAGATAAAAAGCGAAACGATTGCGCAATAAAAATGAAAAGACGCGAGCAGCTGGGTGGTCCAGGTGTGGGAACAGTAAAAGGTTTTGATGGGATGCAAAATGGACCCATCAGAAAGCCATCCACAGCCGATCAGGTCCAAGCTGCCTCAAC